GAATTAAGATTGTTGGTGATGATTGATTTGAGTTCTGATGGTTTGAACTTCTGCAATGGGAAGTCAAGTTGTAGCGGAGCATCCAAATATTCAAGTATCTCTTCCTCGTTGTTTACTGCCGCATTTGGTTTGAACACATTCTCAAAGTATTGAGCAAAGGCTTCAGACTTCTCTGTGTTACATTTTGCCCAGCTCCCATCAGATTTTAAAATATGTTAAATTCGAATCTTTGGGCGCTTATTCATTCGCTTCGTAGCTTTCCAGAGGGAATAATCCGAAGCTTCGGAAGGTGATAGAGATTGGGTGTAATTCTCAAACCAGCAATTTTTTACATAATATAACAGCCGCTTCAAATTTCGAGATGCCCTATTAAAATTTGTTTTATCGACTGGATTCCTGCTATTTTGCCAGATTATTCTCAACCTTCTTTTTTCCGCAACCTTCTTTTTTCCGCAATCTTCTTTTTAACAAAAATAGGGTAACTTAATCCAGGTTTCGACAAATAATAAAGGACAGGAGTTAATATTCTCACAGAATTTTTAATAAAAGTTATAAATAAGCCAATGGCGTCTTCTAAATTTTGATTGCTTTGGTCTTTTTGTAAGTGAAGAAATAACCAAATACCTAGGTGTAAGCAGAAACCTAGTTGTTTATAGAGACTCTTTACATGTAAATAGTTATACCAAGAAGGTGCGAGGATTTCAAATACTTAGGAGTCACTTTAGACGGGAGTGAAGAGAAAGAAATTAAAATTATACCCCTACAGAGGGGAATAGAAATAGGGGTGGGGATGTTTACTTACCCACTCAATGGTGACGGATGATAGCCTGGGTGCTATTGCATCAACATGAGTTAGTTCCCCTTAAGCTCCTCATCGGTAATGTGTAGGCCCAGGATATTTTTTTTTGCTACAGATCTCAAGTAGCACCCCGTCCAAGGCTCATCCTTTTTCCTGTAATAAAATTTCGTTGATTTCATTTAATCAGAATTTAAAATGAGATGATTTTTGATATACCAAGTTGACATCTCAAGCAATGGAGCGGCTGTTTTCCCCCAACCTTCCCATTGTTGGGCATAAACATAAAAAACACAAAATAATAAAGATTTGGTATGAAAAGCATAATTATGAGTTGAGTAAATTTATTAAATAGTTCATAAAAACTTATTTTGGAAAAAAACGAGATGAAATTATTTGGCCGAGACGGGTCTCGATCCCGGTACCTTCTACATGTGAGCCTCACGCCTTACCTCTGTGCTAACTGCGCTTGTTGATTATGAGTGTTTTCAAGTGGTGAAAGAGTAGCCGACAGGTGCAATGGTCACAATTAATACTTGAAATATTGTGTATGCTACAGTATAATATGATTCTGTTTAGGCCTCAAGTAGTTGAATTGTTTTTCTGGTAGTTGGAGAGGATACTAGTATTTGAATATAGATTATTTAATTACTATTAGATTAGTAGGCTACTGTTATAATTGATTGTTATATAATTAATTAATATTTTCCCTATAACTATTAAAAACATGCTTAAATAAGTTAAAGAATATTGTAAAAAAAATTGAATTATAATAATTATTATATGTTAAGCAGGTGTTCCCCACTGTATCTAGGATCACAACATCATCTGACTACATTTATTATAGATCAAAATTTTTACAATATTTGTCTTATATTCGGCTGCCATAACATTTATGTACTTTTAAATAAATCAATTCGTTAAAATTCGTTTTAGAATGTTTTATACTTAAACCCAACAAAGGCCCAACGATTCTTTCCTTTGTAGGGCCAACGAATACCAGTTTCCGTTGGGCCAACGTTGGCAAATCGTTAAAATTTCTGCCAACCATTTCCCAACGTTGGGCCGACGATGTGTGCTACTTGGGTACAGTCTTGTATGTAAATTGTATCAGTTGTAAAATAATCCTTAACAAAATTAGCCCGTAAGGGAATAAATCACATGACAGCGCATGCGCAGAAAGTTCTGCCCGGCAGCGACTTGCTTTGGGGCGCATAATTTTGGAGACCTTCGTATTTTGCCCTGAGGGCGCCCGGGGGCGTCTTTTCGACGTGCCCTGCCTCGCCCGGTCCTGTGTGTGGAGCTCCAAGCGCCCGTGCAATTCCCGTCGCACAAGACGCCCCAATGATACTTGACGTCTTTGGGTTGGATCCTCTCCTCTTATGATTAAACCGCCAACCTTCAAGTTATTAGGTGGGTAGTACTAACCACAAAATTACACTGACATTTTCTGTACCCGCTATGAAATCCTGTTTTTTTTTTAATTTTTAAGTTCAAAAGGTGGGAGTATGCAAGATATTGAAACTGTTACAGAATTCCCCTTATAGGGAATAAGCTATTGCCGTAGGTCTTATGGTAAGAGCTGGACCTGGAACCGATTTACTTTTTTCGTTTTGATGTCCCAAGTGGCCAAAAATATCATCCGTTCAAATTAATGTATACATATATGTGTAAGTGTGTGTGTGTCCGTTAGCACGATAACTTGATTAATCTTAATCATCCGATTTTGATGAAATTTGGTACAAGCCACCCGAAACCACGTACAAACAAACGGCTACTTGTTTGCTCAAACGAGTTTGCGAATCAGCATGATTGTCCAATGGGAAAAAGGTTTTACGGGGCAATAATTGGGTTTTCTCCTTTTTGACCCTCCAAATATACAATTTTCCAGTTTCTCTCAAAACTGTTTTTAAGAGCTTAAAACAGATATAGTATATTGAAGTTTTACATAAGGTTATGTTAATAACCGTAAATTACCGGAGAAACTTAAAAAGACTGTAAATTTAAAATTTGAATGTTACTACGGGGAATTAGTAAACTGTTGTACTTCGCTTGTTTATTGGATATATTTTGATCAAACTTGGTCAATTTATTTATTTTGTAACAAGATATATTAATAATGCCACACAAAAACTGATTGTGAATAGATAGAGTGTTGTAGATAGTAAAAAACCCACACATCACTACCCTCCCTGTAGCAGCAAACCTAGGTACTCGCAAAACATCATGTTACTTAAATAGATAACAGATAGATTAAATTAATAGTTTAGTTAATAGATTGATGAAGTGAAAAACCAACCAGGCAAATGGAAATTCACTTAGTCTGTAGGTTTGCTGCAGCTGGGTTATTATGATATCTAATGTAATTCAGGAAAGCGAAATCATCGTAAAGTACTTTATAGCCTACTAGCTGGCCCGACAGACATCGTCCTGTCCTAATGTGGATTTATGTCAATGCTCGTTCATTTTCAAGATGAGCTCGTTCGCATGGCCCAAACACGTCCTGGTTTAAGTTCGTTTGCTACGCTTACTCACTTTAGGTTGGAGCTCGTTCGCTGCGCTCAATTGCCTTCAGGTTAGCTCGTTCGATACGCTAACTCGCCTCCAGAATTTGAAGTTCGTTCACTACGCTCACTCACCTTTTGGTTGCAAATTAGCTGTTGTCATAAATTAAGAAATAGTTATCTGTGCAACTAGTGAGCAAAGGGAGCAATTGACTCACTCGAGAGAAATACTTACTTAGGAATGGTTTCTCGAGTGAGGCAATTGTACTTTGCACTCGAGTTGCACATTATATTTTTCATACAGTTACCATAAAACAAATAAATTGGTAAAGAAACTTGACATATTTTTACACAGAAGTGAACTTTTAATAATATGACAATGATACAACAGTACAACTACAACAGCTGACCAGCTGATTTACAGCCAGTGCTGCCAACGTATTTCGAGCACATACTACCTTGTCGGAATGGGCACACGGAAGGGACTAAGGCTTAAGGTGTAGTGACGTCATATCTCTAGTGGGTAATGTCTTCTCTTGAGGCGACACGATTACCGTTACGAAACGAAGTGATTTCAGCGGCGTTCGTGGCATAGTTGGTAGCGTTTCGGATTGGTGTGCAGGAGGTCCCGGGTTCGAATCCCGCTGGTAGCACTGACTTTTTGTCATCAAATTTTTCATATCAGCAAGTTTGGTTGGTTAGGTTAGGTTATGACAGTTTAATTTTATAATACTACATTTTAAAATTAATTTCATAATTAATTAAAAATTATAAGTAATTATTAATTAGATTTTTATCTTATATAGTTTTTATATTATCAGCAAGTCTGGTTGGTTAGGTTATGTTATGACAGTTTAATTTTAAAAATTAAAAATTTATTTTATATTTTTAAAACAATATTTTATAATTAAAAAGTTAATTTTATAACTAAAAAAATTAATTTAAATTATTTCAACTTAGCAGTTCTAGCGGCGAACGCTGACACTACAAGATATGTTAGCCTTAGTCCCTCCCGTGTGCCCCACCGCTACCTTGTCTGCATGTTACGCGCTCATTATTTCGTGCCTTTACGTTGCAAATCTGGAGTGAGTAAGACAAAGTAATTAGAGTGAGACAATGTTAACATTGTCTCACTGATGAGCGAATTGGCCACTTTGCTTTCTCAAATCAGTGAGAGAGTAGCCTACATTGATTGTTAGGTAACAGTAGGAAAAATAATAGTGCTGCACCCTGTTGGTAAACCTACTAACTATTTAATGCTATTGAACACCACAGAGTCAAATTGTTTAGTTTCACCAGCTGTTAAGATTCTTAAATTCCATTTAAATATGAGTACTCATAAGGTTAACAAGGGAAACTCCAGTCCAGAGCCACTGGGGTGGAGCCCTTTTGACGGATCTGCACCAAACTTCACACACACCATCTTTGAATGGTGCCTGAAAGTTTCATTACAATCTATCGAGCGGTTTCGGAGTCCATAACGTTCAAATATATATACAAACTTCCTCTTTTATATATATAGATTGTGGAAGACTATCGTAAAATGGGAGTATGTTTAATCTATGGGACTACGTACATGCATTTATATACAAAACATTACTGTAACGCGTTTAAGCCGGCAATAATGGAAATGTCTTGCGAAAGAGTGAGAACAAGAAGATATGACAGAAGAGAGAACAGAGAAGAGGAAGAGATTTTTGGTTTGGGTTTGGCGGGAGATTGTTATGAAGTGGTGGGAAAGTTCCATTAATTCTATTATTCCATTGATTGTCCATTGATCTCATTGTTTTACTTTAAGGATATTCGTTTTTCGCTTGTCACTTCATTCATACATTGTGTCAATTCGAATGCTCGATTCAGAAATTTAGAATTTCGTAATCATAGAGACTCTTATAGCCTATCAACATCCCATCGTAAGGTTAGCCTAACAGAATTGTCTAGGCATCGGCCTACTGCACAAATTTACAAATAAATAATGACACAGGTTTAAATCAGATAGTCTTGGCCAAGGTCGATGTTTGTTTGTAGGCCTAGCTCGAATCACACAAGTAGCCTAACTCAACCCATCTAGGCCTATTTTGAAAAAAATGAAGTGTACTATTCCAGAGATCTCTTGGCACAACAGAGACCCAGTATTGAGCCTACATATTCAACCAACTAAGGGAAATGAAAGTTTCTATCGTCTGGCAACCGGAGGAACGGATTCACACGTTTTGGTAACTAGCCGTAGTTGTTATTTAGCGTATAGGCCTAAGAGGATTTAAAAAAATAGGCTAATCATAGGTACTATTTGTAATAATCCTATAGGGAGGTAAATTTGCAATTAGGCCTAAGTTAATTAAGTTATGAGTGAAAAACACATTTCACACATTTAGCAATAAATTAGCTACATACTTAAGAATGAATAGCCTAACAATAGCTAGGGATGTTCCGATACAAGCTTGCAGCCGATATTTGTTACTTATCAATACAGTATCGAATCAAAAGTAAGTTTATCAATACCCGATATTATTTGACCTAAAATACTGTTGGTATCAAATCAAAAGTTTATTGAAACAAAAAAACAGTTTAAGTTAAATTGTGATAAAGACTGAATAAGACCAAGCTTAGTGACTTTTGGGAACAGGTTTTTGTACAATAACTCACCTTTGGTATCTTAGCCATGTTAACTTGCACACTGAACATGGCTGGGAAAATTGAGTGTGAGTATGACACGGTGTAGGCTATATAGCCTACCTTTATGGTTCAAAAATTCATACAATTCAGTAAGGACGACAGGTTTTCCATGTTAGCCTATTTTACCTACTAATTGTTGAGCGCATCAGTCAGGCAACTGTAAATTTGGACCATGATTTAATAGGCTACACAACTGGCTAAGTTATTCCAACCAATAGGTCCTAGTTAACCTTTTTCATAGGTTGAGAAAATGATATACTGTAGTGGGTAAGATAATGAGTATGATCTCAGAGCCTTATATAAGTTAATGTAGCTGACTAAGTAGGCTACTACATTTTACTTGATGCTCTGTGTGGTTATGGAAGTAAACTTATTCCGCATTAAAATTACAGTTTAATCTGAATTTAAAATCAATAAAACTTTACCGTATTGACATATTTCAGATTTGGCTGTTGTCTGTTGCGAAAGGAGGTGTAGCATCTGTGGAATGTGCTGCAGATCTTACTCGTCACACCAAACCTGTAAACTGTGTTCGTTTTTCACCGTCAGGTAGCATATTGGCCTCTGGAGATGATGGTTTGTAAAAAGGGTACATTTATTATAGTTTTAGAACTATCAAATATTGTTTTAGTTTAGGTAGAATAACCAGCCTAGTGCAAATTGTAAGCAGGCCATATCAAGTAAATCCTAGTCTATATATTTTACAATCCTAAACCTTTTTAGGATACTATTAGCAATAATGTGTCCATTCTGCGGACGGGGATTTTGTAGTCAGTTCAAACATTATTATAGGCCTATTCAGAACAGCAGTTTGTTTGAATATAAAGTTTTCATTGATCTAAATGCAGACAACACTTCTCATTATAGGCCTACACATAACTAAACACGTTCAATGCTAAAGAAAATTAAAAAATCAAATTGTGTTGCTAAAAAACTTTATTGTTGTATTTAACGTTGCTTTTTGTGTCCTTATTCAAATACAATATTATATAAAACCATCGGAAGTGAATATGACGTCAAAAAGTGACGTCATCCTAATGGGTCAGTATTGACCCATCAGGATCCAGAGCACAGAAAACCTACTAGGCCCTACTATAACCCAGAATGCCAACCACATGGTGAAAACCATTAAGTGTTTTGAGAGAGCTTTGCGGCAAAGCTCTCTGCTTTGCCTGTCAAGCCGTAGGCAGCGCCACCAGCTTTGCCATGCACGCAGCATAGCATGCTGGTGGCTCTGCCTATGAATTGACAGGCAAAGCTCTCTCAAAACACTTAATGCTTTTTACCATGCAGTTGGCATTCTGGTTTATAGTACTGCAGTATATAGAACCAACTCTTATAGTTGAAACAGCTGGCTAAGTTTCTTTAATTTCCTTTAAATATGAATACTCATAAGGTTAACATGGGAAACTGCAGAGCCACTGGGGCAGAGCCCGAAAGGATTTTTGGAATAAGAATATGCCTATATGTTAATCGGGAATGTGAGCTATCATCATGCCAAATTTCAGCCCAATCCGACCAGTATTTTTCGCGTTTACTTGTCACAAACATACATAGCCTACATCCATACATCCAAACTTTATCATTTATAATATAGGATTTACAACGACATAAATGAAAACAACTTAGATACATGGCCATGATCTTCTTTATCAATCCTAACCTCCGAAGTTGGGTTGTGACGACTTTTACTTCTAGCAGCATGGTCTTATCACTCCATAGAGTTATGTATTTTTGCAAACAGGTGTTTGATAATATTTTACTGTATTATTTATTTTTAATTTCAATTAATGAATCAAACATGATGTTAGCGGCGAAGTTTCTTTGGTAATTTAATATGAGGGATTGGTCGGTTTTGGTTGCGTTACATGTTAAATAGGCCTATATGAAAATTTTCTACTGTATTTAACTTGTTGCTTTTTGGGGCTTTGTGTAAGATTTGTAAGTTAGCATTATTGAGGTGTTGGAATGGTTTTCTGATAATAGGTTGATGTTTGATGAGCTGGTTGGGTTCTTTTAGGCGAGTTGTTTTTAAAAAAGCTGGTAAATACATCCGCCCGTTTGCCCAAAATAAAATTTTCTACAAATAAACCTGTGGCTTGAAGAGGAAGGCAATACCGGTATCAGCAACTCGTCTTCCACACTCCAAGCTTTGGAGTCCATAAACAGCAGATATTGCCTTGACTGGGGTGTTGATGAAGTTGAACCCAGCACGGCAACCAAGAAGCCTCATGAAGCGTCTCTGGACTGATTGAAGATGATTGATTTGACCGAAGGGGTATGGTGACCAGACCACAGAGGCATACTCGAGCAGCTGACAAACTAAAGCCTTGAACAGGATCGTTGAGGAGTACAATTTTCGTTTTGGCAGGATATGCTGACATATCATTCGCTATACACCAACTGATGAAATTTGTAGAAGAACATCAAAGATGCTGAGAAAGAACAGAAGGCAACATACAGTCAAAGAGAATGCTGCAGAGTGCAGACACCTACTGGTGCGATAGCGGCAGATGCCCTTGGGCTCAATAGGAAGACCCTGAGGAAAGTGGTTGGCTTCATCAGCGTCCACCGTGTATTCCGCAGACATCTACTCAAAATGGAAATTCAAGTTGAAAGCCTTTTAAAATAGAAAATGTGGTGAGGAGGAGGAGGAGACAGCCTTCCACGTGATATTTAAATATGCCCAGCCCTTGGCCTATCGACTGGAGATAAAAGGGAAGAACAAGTAACCATAGTCAAAATGATCTCATGGCTCAATAAGAACCTGGGATTTGACGGAGGATGAGGACCTGTGAATGAGGGTGCACAATAAATTGTTTCAGCTGCGATGCTATCCATGGTCTAGGCCTACTATTAAGCCTGGCCCTCTGTAAAAAAAAAAAAAAATACTACAATGTCGAGGGCTTCTTAAAGTAGTTGATATTCAGTGTGAGAGTTGACCTCTGCAAACAGCTTTATGTCATCAAAGAACAGTAGAAAAGACACCTTTATATTATCTTGAATGTCATTGATAAATTGAGAACAAGGGTGGGCCGAGATGAGAACCCTGCGGTATGCCGGAGCTCGCAATGAAGCTAGCAGAGTCGTGGGACTGAAAGGCAATAGCTAGACGTCAATCAGAAAGATATTTCTCAAACCATAGAAGCATCCTGCCCAACGCCATAGCCCTCCAGCTTTCCAAGAAGATGACGGTGACTAGTCTTGTCAAAGGCTTTGCTGAAATCTATGTATAAATGATTGAAACTATTGATATGTGAACAAGGGAAACTGTTTACAAATTAATTCATGATGGTTTGCTTGAAAAATATTCACTCAAATGTGTAAAATACAATTTATTCTGAAATGGCGACCATACGAATGCCTAGATATTTTAAGCCAAGTATGAATGGAGACGAGTGTAGGATGAATGGCGCGATCTTCTGGTCTTGTTAGTGACTAAGGCGGACATTTTCCTTAGACACAGCTGTTAATTAATAGCCCAGCTGCTAGTTAATAGCCCATACAGCTAATGGCAATTAAGGGACCTACAGTTTATAGTGGAATAAAATAAATAAAAAATGTTCATAGCATAAACTAACATTTAGAACCCAGACCCTACCACAAACTTAATTTACACACATGTTATAACTGGGAGCTTTAGTTAAACGTAACACATTTCCTGAAATTGTAAATACCCAAATATGTAGTAAAAAAAATGTAATTTAATACAACAAGAAAAGAAAGTACAACAACTAAGAACAAGTAACAAGTAAGAACAAGTAAGAAAGGTGCAACACCGATGATAACCTAGCTGTAAATGGTGATATGTTTGTACCTAAAAGTGATCCTCGCTACCATACTTTTCTTGGTAAAAGTATATAGGTACAGTAGAACCTCGCTTATCTTTCACCTACGGGACCGGGACCATGGTCGGAACAGCAAAAAGGTCGGATTATCAGAGGAATGTGTTTATTCAAATTTCCTGAAATTGTAAATACCCAAATATGTAGTAAAACAAATTAATTTAATACAACTGTAAGAAAGGTGCAACACCAATGATAACCAAGCTGTAAATGGTGATGTGCATACTGAAAGTCTCAAATATGGAACTTTTTCAGTATGCAGAACTGTTGAATATTGCAACCCAACTCATCTAGTATGGATTAATAACAAACCATCATATGTTTTACATGTATGCAGTTGTTTACTAAAAAAATATATTTTTCCTACAGTCACCCGACAAAGTTGGCTTCCTTGTACAGTTTATAGTACAGAAAGCTGCTAATTGCTGCATATTTATACTTTGCCGTACGGTTTATACTTTGCCGTACGGTTTATACTTTGCCGCACATCAGGATTCCAACGAAACAACACAAAACAGCGTGGTTGGATTATGCACGTAATCCGTGTACGCTTGGAAATAGGTTGGCAACACTTAAAGATAATTATACTATGAGCAGCTGATTGACTATTATAACTACGATTTAACGTGTCATTTCGTGTTTATAGTTTCGGTATTTCTGAACTTTCTGGACTTTTCTTTTAAACGTTTTTAAAACCTTCCTACGATCTTAATAAACAAGAAAATACCTTTTAAGCACTTTTTTTTAGGCGCGGAAACCACTTCAAATTACAAAAACATACGGAACTATATTCTCAAAACGCGGAGCACATTTCTTGCCGAGGAAAAATAGCGGAGTGATATGGACCGCGGGTACTACTTTCTCTAGGGCACCATTTGTGTTGCCAGCTGAACCTAAAAACGTGTTGCATAGTGTTTGAAAGACTAATTATTTATATGCTTTATAGTGACTGTAGGAAAAATATAATGTGTAACACGAGTGAAAAGGGCCTTTGCTGCACTCGAGATCATTCCACACTCGCCTGCGGCTCGTGCGTAAACATTGCTCTCGTGTGCAGCAAAGTGCCACTTTCACCACTAGTTACACAAATAACAATTTCAGTGTTGTGTTGTGTTTGTAAGAGTTTATAACATTTATTCTTTCATTAACTTAAATTTCACCAACAAAGGTTATGGGCCATTTGGAATAATAAAATAATCATTTTACAGTATTCTGTGCTTAAAAATAAGTAAAATGAGTTTTGGCTATAGAATTGAACCTTTCAAACAAAATAATTATGACACTTGGAAAATTCAAGCTGAAGCTATATTAATCCAACAAAACCTAATGGAATATGTATCTGGGGAGAACAAATGTCCTGAGGATGAAATTGGTAAGAATGCCTGGATAGTTCAAGATCTTAAAGCAAAATCAGAACTAATATTGATAATTTCACCTAGTGAATTGAAATTAGTAAAAAACTGCAAAACTTCCAAAGAAGTATGGGATTGCCTGCAGAACAATTACCAAAGTTCTGGTCCTGCAGGGAAAGCCACATTATTAAAGCAGTTAATAGTCCATAAAACGAAAGATGGAGAAGATGCTAGGGATCATGTCAACAAATTTATGGAGATTGTTGACAAACTTCGAGACATCATTATCAATTCAGACTTACTTAGCATTATGCTACTTTACAGCTTATCATCATCATTTGAAAATTTCTGGGTAGCAATTGAGTCTAGAGACACTTTA